TCAACATTGTTCTCTATTTTAGGTATGCCAGCTTTATTACCATTCAGACAGGGATCCTCGTTCATGAGTAACGAATCTTCCAGGAGTTTTTGGCTAGCAAAGGAAATTGCCATGCAGCAGAAATCAACAAGCAAACAACCCTCAAGCATGGTCAGAGTGGAGCAGTTCAATGGTACTATATGGAAGGCAGTTACAATGACATTAAAGTCGCGCAATCTACCTGTTCAACACTGCAAACTGTCCTACCCTGATGCTTCTTCACTCTATTAGATCACACATGCTGTGCAACAGCTACTAATGCAACCCCTCATGAAAGACTCCTCAACTATTCACGTCGTTCCTCTACGAGCCTCAGTGCCCACTTGGTTATGTCATCCCTGGACCCGTTCTCCTGAAGAGACACCGTAGGATGAACAAGACGGATCCTTTAGTGGAATAGGTAAGAGCTCCGCAAGCTAATCCACATTACGCCCACATTCGCAACCAAAATGGTTGAAGAGACTAAAGTATCTACAAGACATTTATAGCCCCCGTTGAAATCCCCTATGAGTGTTGGAATCTCAAGATACACCAATAGATTGTAAAGATCTCGTTTTTCTCCTGGAAAGCCCCTTGAAGACTACCCTATGGAAATAGAGGATTCTGCTCCAGCAGTTAATCTAACCCCGCTGGAAATATCGAACCTGGTGAAGAGGCTCAAGGGCTACGAAGGACGGACGTGATACATCACCCACCTAACAGTTTGGGAGATTACTGTCCTCTGATATTTTAGAAGGGGGAGTTTGCAGAGATACAGGTCCTGTGGGTGAGCAGCAGCAGGAAATACACTGCAACCACATCTAGGGCCCTTAAACAACAACAACAGTTTGGACGTCGTCATGGGCACCAACATATGGTTGGATCTCTCCTCCTTATCCATTAATACACCGATGCAGATTACATGGTGAGTTTAAAATATGATGCCTGTAGTTATAAACTTTTCTCATGACATATGCAAGACCACACCATCCCTGTATAATCCTTATTAGATGTACTAGTCATTATATTTTGATGTTGCAGAAGTACTATGAAGATCTATTTCAATAAGCCTCAGATAAGGCCTGGAATCTATCACAACAGGTAGCCAGCATGAATTAGTGGAGTAAAGGCTCTAAACCGAGTGAGAATACACGAGGTGCTGCCCTCCTACAGTCATGGCAAAGGTTGTGAATGGCACAGGTCTGAAACAACCCGGTTATTCTTTGACCCAGGAGCCACAAGTATCCTTGAATAACAAAGAAGAATGGGGGCTAAATTAAAGTTGAAGGCCCACAAGGAAAGTTAGTATGATGTTGAGGAGGGGCTTAAGTCAGGTCCCACCCAAATCTTATGATGTGGTGAATGTCCCATCAAATTAGATGGACATGATCCGCAGAGACATTACAGCCTTGGTGGTAGAGACATTACCCACGGGCAATACAGCGAGAGTCTGCGGCAGCAGCTAAGGCGATTGGAAAGACCTTGACGAGAAGCAGGCCGAAACAGGAATTAACCACAGACAAAGTTCAGAAATGTAGGTAACCTGGTGAGCCAATCAATATAGAAGACTTCCTGTCTACACGACGGAACTTAAGGAAGGATTGGTTTATACAGATCCCCAGAAGGATACATCATAGGGCGGCAGGATTCCACCTGAATTCCCGCCATGCCAGAATAGTAAAGCACGTCCCCATGAAAAGCTGGGGAGTAGTGATTGTATGAATACCAGTATACACGATGACTGTCAGGGAAGCTGGAAACCAGGCAGGAGTACGAACACTCAGCCCACCTTGGAAAACACAACTATTACAGGGTACATAAAGAGGGAGATAGATTGCCTTTAAATCCAGGGAACCTCGTAACAGTGGGAGGAAAGGCTACCAAGGCATGTGGGCCACTGGGTGGGAAAGTACAGAGCCGCTCAGTCAAGGCTAGACATACGAAAGACGTTAAAGCTAAAGCAAAGGGTGCTAAGACCACCGGAACCAACAAGTTTACACCCCCAGAGGTCCCCATAGGGGAAACTGGACGGTTGAAGTTAGACCGGAGTCTGCTCGACGAGAGTGGCTGGACGGCACTCGTGTCCAGGGTCCGCTGTGGGGGCTCATGAAAGGTGAACTTGATTTAGACTTAGCGCCTACCTTTGCCGGCGGGAGGATGTGGAAATTTATTTGGTCCCTAAAGTTCCACAGGACAGATCCAGCATGGCCGTAATAGGATGGCTGAGCTGGCTGGCCCTTAAACCCTCCCAAACAAACAGCATTCTCTCTATTTTGGCGTGGATTGTTGGTAGGCATTTATTTAATTTATAGATTTACCCTTCAGGGAAGGAGTAGGTAGTTTTACTGTTAGTACACTATTATTAGGTTTACTAAGGCAACTGTAGATAATAATAATGTAGACCTAAGACCTTAACATAGGTAGTAATAGGCCGATAATGTAGGCAAACACTAGGTTAAGTTAGCTAGGGAGAACTGGCAGCCCTAGCTTGAACAATGAGGCGCGGGTCTCAAGGACACAATAGCGTCCTTCTTAAGACAGACACCAACTGGACAAGACGTGCCGTGATCAGCAGACGGCGCCCCCCACGTGTCTACACATTTTGAGACCTGGGAAATCTGGTAGAGGCACCATCGAAGTACCGTAGATGACCTCCTCTGTCAGGCCCATACAGTAAGACAAGACCTCCACTATTTCTCATAGATTTCTGGCCAGTGTCTGGGGAGATTGTGAGTGAGTTGATCTGTGGGCCCGGTGTGCAACAGGCAGTGCATGCCCAGTAAGTACCAGTGTCTCAAGGCAGTCTGGAATCTAGTGTCCGTGTCTGCATAGTTATACTAGGGGATACATACCCTCTTGGATATAGGAATTTCTGAGGTGCAGGCAGGTCACTAATAACGATTGAATATTGCAGGAATTAAGGCTCCCGGTTGCACGTGGTTTCTGAGGGAAAGTCTAGAGGGGCTAAGGCTAAGCTTAGGGAAGTTGAAGATCAGGATATATGCTGCAACACCAAGTAAGTTAGTCCTTTATACGTGAATGCAGGCGAGTTTCTTGCAACATCAATCATTTGTGAAAATCTGTCCTATAAGCCACTTGTGAGGCTGAGGTACCCACCTCAGAGCTCGGTGTCAACAGAGTTTGCCAGGGTAGGTGACTCACTTGGAGGCAGCCCACACAAATTTTCACACCTCTCCATGTAGAGAATGGAACAAAACAGAATGACTTCGAGAGTGTATAAATTTGTAGTGGAGGGAAGGCGGGGTAGGGGCCGGCCTAGGAAGGGTTGGAGGGAGGGGGTAAAGGAGGCTTTGTGTGCGAGGGGCTTGGACTTCCAGCAAGCATGCATGAGCGTATTTGATATGAGTGGAAGGAGACAAATGGTTTTTAATACTTGACGTGTTGTTGGAGTGTGAGCAAAGTAACATTTATGAAGGGATTCGAGGAAATCGGCAGGCTGGACTTGATTCCTGGAGATGGGAAGTACAGTGCCTGCACTCTGAAGGAGGTGTGTTAATGTTGCAGTTTTATAACTGAAGTGTAAAGCACCCCTCTGGCAAGACAGTGATGGAGTGAATGATGATGAAAGTTTTTCTTTTTCGGGCTACTCTGCCTTGGTGGGAATCGGCCGATGTGTAAATAAAAAAAAATAAAAAAAAATATTACTACGATTATTTATTTTATCATTAATATAGTTGAGAAGTATTCTCATGTTCGGTTTATGGCCCTTTAACGTTCTCATTGCTAAACATTAGTCACTGGTCATGCAGTAGTGACGTAACTGGAATTTACAACCCCCCCATCCCCTCGCCTTTGGATTTCATTGAGGGGTGACACCAAAGATGCCGCCCCGGGTTACACCAAAGATGCCGCCCCGGGTTACACCAAAGATGCCGCCCCGGGTGACACCAAAGATGCCGCCCCGGGTGACACCAAAGATGCCGCCCCGGGTTACACCAATGATGCCGCCCCGGGTTACACCAAAGATGCCGCCTCGGGTGACACCAAAGATGCCGCCCCGGGTGACACAAAGATGCCGCCCCGGTTACACCAAAGATGCCGCCCGGGTTACACCAAAGATGCCGCCCCGGGTGACACCAAAGATGCCGCCCCGGGTGACACCAAAGATGCCGCCCCGGGTGACACCAAAGATGCCGCCCCGAGTGACACCAAAGATGCCGCCCCGGGTGATACCAAAGATGCCGCCCCGGGTGACACCAAAGATGCCGCCCCGGGTGACACCAAAGATGCCGCCCCGGGTGACACCAAAGATGCCGCCCCGGGTGACACCAAATATGCCGCCCCGGGTGACACCAAAGATGCCTCCCCGGGTGACACCATCCCTGGCAACGACACTGTGCTGCAGCACTTTTTTGGACATTAGTGTCACCTTCTTTATAGGCTGTATGGTGTCACCCCTTAATGGTGTCACCCGGGGGCCACTGGTGCCTAATGAATGTAGCAACAAAAAGGGAAGAGAATGATTTTTTGTATTTTCTCTTTTAAGCTAATACACATGTAAATGTACATAACTCATTTTACCTTATTCCTAGTATATCTCCTTTATAGTATATTAATAAGATATTGCCTCCTTTATAGTATAATAAGGTATTACAAGGACCCCAATGGAAATAAGTCACTCTGTCTGACTTTTTTGGGTTATCCTAGGTTCTCTACACATATGCTGCTATGTATGATAATTCTATGTAACTGTATTGTGTATACCTGAATAAATTTACTTACTTACTTACTTACTTACTTACTTACTGACTTACGTTAACATTAAAGATAGAATCAGATCACTAGGAAAATATTTGCGGATATCTTATTAATGACTCGGTTTATTCCTGTAAATATATTCTGAAATATTTAATGTAGCATATTATAATATTTTATACAACCAATATAACAATAGTAAGCTGTGTAACAAGGCTAAATAAAAGTAATTATAGAGATTTATTTTAAGCCATTGTTGTTGTAGTGTTGTTGTTGTTGTTGTTGATCAGGTGTAGTGACAACACTGATGAAGGTTTTATCTGCTGCTGCTGCTGGTGGTGCTGGTGTTGGTGGTGCACAATATTACTGACATATTACCTGCACTCTGCTACACTGACTCAACCTATACCACCCCCTCCATATTTGACATTTTGACTGAGTTACCAGCAAGGAAGGAAAGAGAGAAGAGCAGGTCAGTCGCAGCCATTATTATCCTGCACAACAAACACTCTTGTTGACACCACCATTATTGTTCTTTATTACTACCACCATCACTACTACTACCATTATTATCCTACACAACAAACACTCTTGTTGACACCACCATTATTGTTCTTTATTACTACCACCATCACTACTACTACCATTATTATCCTGCACAACAAACACTCTTGTTGACACCACCATTATTGTTCTTTATTACTACCACCATCACTACTACTACCATTATTATCCTGCACAACAAACACTCTTGTTGACACCACCATTATTGTTCTTTATTACTACCACCATCACTACTACTACCAATTATTTTCCTGCACAACAAACACTCTTGTTGACACTACCATTATTGTTCTTTATTACTACCACCATCACTACTACTACCATTATTATCCTGCACAACAAACACTCTTGTTGACACCACCATTTATTGTTCTTATTACTACCACCATCACTACTACTACCATTATTTTCCTGCACAACAAACACTCTTGTTGACACCACCATTATTGTTCTTTATTACTACCACCATCACTACTACTACCATTATTATCCTGCACAACAAACACTCTTGTTGACACCACTATTATTGTTCTTTATTACTACCACCATCACTACTACTACCATTATTATCCTGCACAACAAACACTCTTATTGACACCACCATTATTGTTCTTTATTACTACCACCATCACTACTACTACCATTATTATCCTGCACAACAAACACTCTTGTTGACACCACCATTATTGTTCTTTATTACTACCACCATCACTACTACTACCATTATTATCCTGCACAACAAACACCATTGTTGATACTACCATTATTGTTCTTTATTACTACCACCATCACTACTACTACCATTATTATCCTGCACAACAAACACCCTTGTTGATACTACCATTATTGTTCTTTATTACTACCACCATCACTACTACTACCATTATTATCCTGCACAACAAACACTCTTGTTGACACCACCATTATTGTTCTTTATTACTACCACCATCACTACTACTACCATTATTATCCTGCACAACAAACACTCTTGTTGACACCACCATTATTGTTCTTTATTACTACCACCATCACTACTACTACCATTATTATCCTGCACAACAAACACTCTTATTGACACCACCATTATTGTTCTTTATTACTACCACCATCACTATACTCACCATTATTATCCTGCACAACAAACACTCTTGTTGACACCACCATTATTGTTCTTTATTACTACCACCATCACTACTACTACCATTATTATCCTGCACAACAAAACACCATTGTTGATACTACCATTATTTTTCTTTATTACTACCACCATCACTACTACTACCATTATTATCCTGCACAACAAACACCCTTGTTGATACTACCATTATTGTTCTTTATTACTACCACCATCACTACTACTACCATTAATTATCCTGCACAACAAACACTCTGTGTTGACACCACCATTATTGTTCTTTATTACTACCACCATCACTACTACTACCACCATTATTATCCTGCAAACAACAAACACTTGTTGACACCACCATTATTTCTTTATTACTACCACCATCACTACTACTACCATTATTATCCTACACAACAAACACTCTTGTTGACACCCACCATTATTGTTCTTTATTACTACCACCATCACTACTACTACCATTATTATCCTGCACAACAAACACTCTTGTTGACACTACCATTATTGTTCTTTATTACTACCACCATCACTACTACTACCATTATTATCCTGCACAACAAACACTCTTGTTGACACCACCATTATTGTTCTTTATTACTACCACCATCACTACTACTACCATTATTATCCTGCACAAAACAAACACTCTTGTTGACACCACCATTATTGTTTTTTTATTACTACCACCATCACTACTACTACCATTATTATCCTGCACAACAAACACTCTTGTTGACACCACTATTATTTTTCTTTATTACTACCACCATCACTACTACTACCATAAATTTTCCTGCACAACAAACACTCTTATTGACAACCACCATTATTGTTCTTTATTACTACCACCATCACTACTACTACCATTATTATCCTGCACAACAAACACTCTTGTTGACACCAAACCCTTATTGTTTCTTTATTACTACCACCATCACTACTACTACCATTATTATCCTGCACAACAAACACCATTGTTGATACTACCATTATTGTTCTTTATTACTACCACCATCACTACTACTACCATTATTATCCTGCACAACAAACACCCTTGTTTTATACTACCATTATTGTTCTTTATTACTACCACCATCACTACTACTACCATTATTATCCTGCACAACAAACACTCTTGTTGACACCACCATTATTGTTCTTTATTACTACCACCATCACTACTACTACCATTATTATCCTGCACAACAAACACTCTTGTTGACACCACCATTATTGTTCTTTATTACTACCACCCATCACTACTACTACCATTATTATCCTGCACAACAACACTCTTATTGACACCACCATTATTGTTCTTTATTAAATACCACCATCACTACTACATACCATTATTATCCTGCACAACAAACACTCTTGTTGACACCACCATTATTTTCTTTATTACTACCACCATCACTACTACTACCATTATTATCCTGCACAACAAACACCATTGTTGATACTACCATTATTGTTCTTTATTACTACCACCATCACTACTACTACCATTTATTATCCTGCACAACAAACACCCTTGTTGATACTACCATTATTGTTCTTTATTACTACCACCATCACTACTACTACCATTATTATCCTGCACAACAACACTCTTGTTGACACCCACCATTATTGTTCTTTATTACTACCACCATCACTACTACTACCACCATTATTTTCCTGCACAACAAACACTCTTGTTGACACCACCATTATTGTTCTTTATTACTACCACCATCACTACTACTACCATTATTATCCTACACAACAAACACTCTTGTTGACACCAACCATTATTGTTCTTTTTTAAATACCACCATCACTACTCTACTACCATTATTATCCTGCACAACAAACACTCTTGTTGACACCACCACCACCATTATTGTTCTTTATTACTACCACCATCACTACTTCTACCATTATTATCCTGCACAACAAACACCCTTGTTGACACCACCATTATTGTTCTTTATTACTACCACCATCACTACTACTACCATTATTATCCTGCACAACAAACACCCTTGTAGATATTACCATTATTGTTCTTTATTACTACCAGCATTACTGGTATAACTAACACCATTAGTAGTATACCACCATTACTAGTATAACTACCATCATTACTAGTATATCACCATTACTAGAATACCATTATCACTAGCATCACTATCACGAGCCTTTTCCATCCTATGGAGAGGGAGCATGGACACGGGGGTCGTCCCACAGTTACTAAAAACAACAGACATAGCCCCACTCCACAAAGGGGGCAGTAAAGCAACAGCAAAGAACTACAGACCAATAGCACTAACATCCCATATCATAAAAATCTTTGAAAGGGTCCTAAGAAGCAAGATCACCACCCATCTAGAAACCCATCAGTTACACAACCCAGGGCAACATAGGTTTAGAACAGGTCGCTCCTGTCTGTCTCAACTATTGGATCACTACGACAAGGTCCTAAATGCACTAGAAGACAAAAAGAATGCAGATGTAATATATACAGACTTTGCAAAAGCCTTCGACAAGTGTGACCTGGAGTTTACCTGGAGAGAGTTCCGGGGGTCAACGCCCCCGCGGCCCGGTCTGAGACCAGGCCTCCTGGTGGATCAGAGCCTGATCAACCAGGCTGTTGCTGCTGGCTGCACGCAAACCAACATACGAGCCACAGCCCGGCTGATCCGGAACTGACTTTAGGTGCTTGTCCAGTGCCAGCTTGAAGACTGCCAGGGGTCTGTTGGTAATCCCCCTTATGTGTGCTGGGAGGCAGTTGAACAGTCTCGGGCCCCTGACACTTATTGTATGGTCTCTTAACGTGCTAGTGACACCCCTGCTTTTCATTGGGGGGATGGTGCATCGTCTGCCAAGTCTTTTGCTTTCGTAGTGGGTGATTTTCGTGTGCAAGTTCGGTACTAGTCCCTCTAGGATTTTCCAGGTGTATATAATCATGTATCTCTCCCTCCTGCGTTCCAGGGAATACAGGTTTAGGAACCTCAAAGCGCTCCCAATAATTGAGGTGTTTTATCTCCGTTATGCGCGCCGTGAAAGTTCTCTGTACATTTTCTAGGTCGGCAATTTCACCTGCCTTGAAAGGTGCTGTTAGTGTGCAGCAATATTCCAGCCTAGATAGAACAAGTGACCTGAAGAGTGTCATCATGGGCTTGGCCTCCCTAGTTTTGAAGGTTCTCATTATCCATCCTGTCATTTTTCTAGCAGATGCGATGATACAGTGTTATGGTCCTTGAAGGTGAGATCCTCCGACATGATCACTCCCAGGTCTTTGACGTTGGTGTTTCCTCTATTTTGTGGCCAGAATTTGTTTTGTACTCTGATGAAGATTTAATTTCCTCATGTTACCATATCTGAGTAATTGAAATTTTCATCGTTGAACTTCATATTGTTTTTCTGCAGCCCACTGAAAGATTTGGTTGATGTCTGCCTGGAGCTTTGCAGTGTCTGCAATGGAAGACACTGTCATGCAGATTCGGGTGTCATCTGCAAAGGAAGACACGGTGCTGTGCTGACATCCTTGTCTATGTCGGATATAAGGATGAGGAACAAGATGGGAGCGAGTACTGTGCCTTGTGGAACAGAGCTTTTCACCGTAGCTGCCTCGGACTTTACTCTGTTGATGACTACTCTCTGTGTTCTGTTAGTGAGGAAATTATAGATCCATCGACCGACTTTTCCTGTTATTCCTTTAGCACGCATTTTGTGCGCTATTACGCCATGGTCACACTTGTCGAAGGCTTTTG